TCAAAATCTGTCCTAATCATATAATCAATGTATTTCTCTTAAGGCATTACATAATGGACAAGATGGATTAGTTCCAGCATCTTATATTGAATATCAAACTTCGGATAGTAATGATTATGGTATTTCTTGACTCTAATTTCTTGATTCATTTAGTATTAGATTATATAATCAAACATGAACATACATATACGTATATTATTAGTACAAGCATTATACGACTACGTTGCACAGACTTCTGAAGAGATATCGATAAGAGAAGGCGATATAATATTAATAACAAATCGGGATGTTGGTGATGGATGGTGGGAAGGTAAGACTTTTGTTTATTATGTATTCTACCCCGTTCAATTTACGCATGATTGATCATAGGTCAATCAGATGACATTGCCCCTTTATAGCATAAATATATTTATTCGCTTATTAATGCTTTTTTGTAATATTAGGCACATTGAATGGAGTGACAGGTCAGTTTCCAGCAAGTTATGTAGGCCCTTTAGAATGATAAGTTCTTAATTTATATATTTAGTATAGACTTAATTCACGCCAGTTTTGTATTATTAACAAACAAGTAAATTAATAATGTATCCAAATTTCTTAATATACATTCATATATTTTATATTTATATTGAGAATCTGGTCTGAAGAAATTTCGATCGACTCGAAATATTTTAAATAAATAGAAATAATCATTATGGTTTATAAGGGATAACATTTTTAACTAGATTAATTGAGCTAGCAGAAATTCAATAGTATCTTTCGTACTATATCAGATATCGAGATGATTGTAGCTGGGTGTGTTATTATTGAATTAATTATTATTATATTATATAAAAAATAAAAAAAATACTAATTTTTTTTGAAATAATCTTTTTTTTTGAAGGGTTGTCATAAAGATCTTCTAGCTTTAATGAACACAACATTTTTTCTTCATCAGAAAAATTTTTTCATATATAACATATATAGTTATTCTCATTACATAGTATATACATACTGTATTTTTTTTTCTAAGGCCATACAAACTTAATTGGTTCTCAAAATTTTGAAAAAAATTTTTTACTATCGCTATATTTATTATCCGGGTGAACTTTTTAAAATTTGATTTACAAGTCATTATTTGCTAACTGAGTTTTAATTCGAGATTGGTGTGCTTATGTAATAACGTACAAAAAATAACAAGAAGAAAAAAAATCTATGATCATAAGAATTTGCACGATAACCTATTACGTATAACGTATGAACCACTTTCATAATTACATCATACGATAATTAAAAAGTTCAGATACCGTAAAAGTAATATTCATGTGATTGTAAATATAATTTTTTGTATTTATAAGTACCGTTTATGGAAAAACGCCAGAATGCAAAATCACCATCTTCTCACAGAAAATGACGGGTTCGTTGTTTAAAAGTTTTTTTAAAATTCCCGCATTGAGCATTTTGAAACAAAGAGGATTACCAAATGTTGGTGTTTTTGCCATGCAAAAGAGGCCATTTGCTTCTGAGAATGACAACCAGGTGAAATATAATAATTTTTAGACATTTTAAAAATAGTTTAATCAATCGCGTTCAACATTCAATTGATTGAAATGCGATTTATCGATGAATTCAGCTCTTGTTTATTATATGTTTATAGTTTATTTTTTGTTT